AACTGCTATTGCTATTGCTATTGCTATTGCTATATTAGAAATCCATACCTCATTTGTGATATCAGCTATTAAATATCCAAAGTTGAAAGACTATGCAGTATCCTCTAGGTATGTCTTAGGACATAAACCTTTATCCAGTCACAAAGGAATCACATTTTTAAAAATTCCAGTAAACTGAATAAAATGTTACAGCACCTTAATTTAAATAGTTACAATACTTAAAATTTTAGTACTATGCTTTCTCCATTTATTTTACACTGGTTCTATCTTTTAAAAGACTTTTTCCAAGTTATCTCTATAACATTATTAAAGCATTGGAAAATCATGTTTCTGTTTATCATTAATAGAGATGTATATTAATCTTTTTTCTTTCCCTAGCTCTCAAGGCAACCTAGAACAGAGGAAAACCAAAGTAGGTTTATATAAGATTATGCAAGATGCATGCTATTTAATAGTTTCTAAACATCTTATACGTTATTTCTTACAGTGCCTAAAAATTCTTAACTATGTTTACTACTTGTGGCATCATTATGCTAAATTCTTCTTCTAGCATCAAATCAGATACCAAAAATAAACCTTATATCTTATGTGACTTTCCGTTTTTTTCAATCTCTTGAAGCTCTCTATTGAGAATAGAAAACAATGGGATTCTGAAGCGTGTCCCATTTAGAAGTAGTACAACCAATATTGCATTTTCCAATATGTTTTACAAATAATCAGTGCAGTGGCCAGAGAATTGTTAAGATTGCTTGATTTTTTTTGTTTCAAACATTATATAGTTAAGTAGCATTGGTTTATATTTTATCAAGTTCCTGGTCTCACATATATTCAATTTTACAAAATGTGTGGAAAAATATAGTTCTGAGTGAGCATAACTTTTGGTGTAATAAATCATATTTTAAAACTGTATAATTAAAATATGTGTGTAATAACTGTCATAATGCAAAACCAGCAATAATAAAAGTTGTTCTGTTCTTATTTCTTTATAATCTAAGCCACACACACCCCAAACTCATGAGCCGTGGCTTATTACCACAGCATGTTCAGAACTGTGCTGTGGAAGCAATGGGCAGGCAAGCACACATGTGCAGGTCCATTTGTGCGCACATTGGGTTGGCAATTGTACATGTACATCTCCATTTGTGTGAGCAGCAGGTGTATGTGCAAGCAGTGGGTGTGCATGTCCACCACTTGTGCAAATGGAGCTGTGCACATACTTGCTCCCTGCTTACCTGGAACCATCCCCTCTTCCCCTCCACAAAGCCAGAAAGGTTGGAGATTACTGATCTAAGTCAATGTATAATTTGCAATATTGCTGAAGCAACAAGTGTTGAATGATACACTTTTATGGTACTCTTTTTCTGCCACACTATTCAGCATTGATTTATTCTTTTAGCAATAGAAAGACTGGTTAACAATTAGATTGACCAACAGTGTCCCAAAACAGAACTTCGAGACAATAGGTCATAATTTTTCTAGCAATTTGATCAGCTGTTCCAGGATTAGTCAACTGAATATTGCAGTTTGAAAGTTAAAGTCAAATGTAGCAAGTTTAAGGGATCCGCAACAAATGACATAGATGGAATTGAAGTCAAATGTATCTTTATCTTGAAAGTCCCAACATGGACATTTGGTAGTAATATAATAAATAATAAACCTTCTAGCATTAGTTTGATGAGCTAAAGCCTTTATCAGATGTAAATCAGGATTGGCCACTTTTTATATTGCATAGGGAAATCAAAGAAATGAAATGAAAGCAGTGGTAATTTTATGTGACACTTGAATGTATATAAGATAATCAAAGTGAGATTTTGCAACAGCAGAAATTATTAGAATAACAGAGTTGGAAGGGACCTTGAAGGTCTTCTAGTCCAGTGGTCCCCAACCCCCGGTCCGCGGACCGGTGCCGGGCCGCGGAGTACCTGGCACCGGGCCGCGNTAATCCATCTGGTCCTGGTAATTTGAACTCATTTAGGGTAGAGAGGTGCTCATTTACCATTTTCTTGCCTATTGTTGATGGTTTGCTGCATGATCCTATTGAGATCTTGATTGTTACCTGGAATGAAAGGGAAGGAAAGACACACATACAACCTTTCTTTTCTCACAGATCCAATCACTGTGTGTGATTTATAAAAAAAGTTGAGGGGATCAAGTGGGTTAAGAAGATGCCTGCACTGCTGCTGTAGATCAATGAATATTGTGGGAAGTGTTGATGCTAGCAAGCTATTTCCCTTTTGTGGAAGACGGGATGATGGGATTTGTACTAATTTATCACACATTGAAATGGAGACATATTGAAATAATGTAGGCACTCAGGTCTTGACCAGCTTGGTGATAGGAAGCATGAATGCTAATTGAGTAAGATGGCTTGCAATTCACAATCGACATCTTAGAGGCATTTTAATGTATCTGGTAGGCAGTTGTCTGGAAAACGTCATTAAGATCAGTTAGAAAAGCATAGTGAACTCTGGAATTTTAAAAGTGATGGTTTATGTGAGAAAGTATTGTTTACAAATCCTGTTCTAATTGCATAGTTATTTTTCATGAAATCATTTCTTCCTTCCTCACAAAAATAAAGTCCTCATATCATTTTCCATAGTGATGGGAAATATTCAAAAAATATCCAGAAGAAAGGATTTAAAGTTTTTATAGTTATCTTGTATTCATGGATATTATGCCAGAAGATAACAGAAATATGCTCAGTTAAGAGAAAATTACTTGTTGTTTCTTTTGTGGAATAAATTCATAATGTCTTATTTAACATATAGGCCCAGGATGAGCTGATGAACTCAGGCCTTTACCTTGTACTGCTGCTTCATCTATATGAGCAAAGGTTTGCAGAACTCATGAGATTAAACTACAATCAAGCCTCCAGAGATAGGGTAAGAGCCAGAATAATATCTATTTTTTCTTTCTGTTTACATAGGAAGATTAGCACTTCTTTTATGTTTATCACATCTATTCACAGCAGCCTAGAAATCTCAGGGTTCCCTGTGTCATTACCAGATTAAATGAGTATAGGTAAATAGGAACACATCTCTTTAAAAAAAAAACACTAAATTTTTGTATAGAACATGCTGTACATTGATTTATTATGCTCCTGTCTTCTACTTTGTCCAAAACCATAATGCTCAACAACAGTGTCAAAATCACCCAGCTGGCCTTCATGCCTAAGGGAGAACTACTAGTTTCAAATCCCGCATTTTGTCTACTAGTTTCAAATCCAGCATTTTGTCTACTAGTTTCAAATTCAGCATTTTGACCACAACTTTAACCTGGCTCTCATATATTTTACAACCTAGGTTCTTTAATATAGTGCAAATTATTTTAACTTTTTGTATAATACACATTTATGTTTACATTTTTTTGTAATATGCAATTGTTTTTCATTAGAAAATTTATCACACATTTGTGAAATAGTGTTGCTTTAGAAAAGTATAAATTAATTGTAGATGTAATGAAGCTTCATTCAATATTAATACCTAACATATCACAGATGTACAGCATACCTTGCATAGACCAACAGTACTCATTCAACAAAGTACTGTTGTATTTAGAATAAAATGAATATTTCAGATACCTCAACAATATCCATTGAGATATTGTTGAAGAGCCGAGGTGGCGCAGTGGTTAAATGCAGCACTGCAGACTACTTTAGGTGACTGCAGTTCTGCAGTTCGGCTGTTCA